TAGAATGGGGTCAGCACCTAGCACAGAGCGAGAGCTCCACAGTGACAGCGGTCAGCGAGCCTCACAACCAGCCTGCAGGTTTACTCCGGTTCCGAGCTGCGGAGACCCAGGCTCAGCCCAGCAGAGCTCGGACTCCAGGGTGATCTTTCTGACTCCCACACCGAGCTGGTGACTGCTGTGTCACACATACCACGCCGAGGTGTCTGAGCAGAGGAGGATTATGAGCAGATTAATGATATAACCTGATTTTAGAAAAATCACTCTGGTGGCAGCACAGCGTATGGAGGGGAAGGAGCGGGGACTGCAGGAGGGGCTGCATTCCAAGCGTGTGGCCTGAGTCAGGGGCTCTGGGGCCAGGGGGAAGAGCTTCACAGGTAGGCGGGGTGAGGGAGAGGGAGGACGCCAAAATCACTCCCAGGTTCCGTGTGTGAGCCCATGGGCGGTGGTGACATTTACTGGGACAGAGAGGAAAGGAATGGGTTGGAAATGGGGAAGATGATTTCATTCTTGGATGTGTGGAGTGTGAGATGCCCCAGGGGTTCCAAGCGGGGACTTCCAGAGGCAGTGGAATAAGGATGTGAGGTCAGGCAGGGAGAGGCCGCAGAAGGCATTTGTACGTGTTCTCTGTGAAGGACGGAAGCAATAATTCTGGGTGAGACTGGCCAAGGTTCTGGACTTTCCCAGCCTCTCATTGCTAACTTCCTAAGATCTGAAGAGTAGTTGACCTTTCCTTACCCGGGATAAATTTTAGGCATTTCTTTCTGGGGACCTTGACTTTCTTAGATGATGGCTTGAGAGAGAAGACTCCCCAAGCTTGTCCACGGGCACCTATAGACCAAACCTTGGGGTAGAATAGGTGTCAGTAAACTGTAGTCTGTGGGTCAATCCTGCGTGCTGCCTGTTGTTTGTAAACACAGCCACACCCATCCATGCGCTTACTGTCTCTGGCTGCTTTGAGGCTACAGCAGCAGACTTGAGTGTAACAGAGACCATGTGGTCTGCAGAGCCTATCATATATACTATCTGGCTTTGAAAAATATTTTTGCAGATCCCTGGAGTAGAGTACTGTACCTTGAGGTGTAGTTTCACTATTTACTTAGTAAAGTACCTTTTAGCACAGTTCCTGGGACAGGAAATACTGAAGAAATATCACTTACATAATGGTCACATCCTTTTCTTTTAACATAAAGGTTTTTCAAGATCTATTTAGCCCATAGTCCGCTTGTTTTAAACATTTCACATACCCCAGTCTTGGACTACCACTTCCTGTCTTTCTAGTACTCTATCTCCAGCAACTCTTCAGCCCCACTGCTGTCTTTTGATTGTGGCTCTCGGTCCCTCCCTGTACATATGCAATGTCATCCTTCCAGATGGCCAATTTCCACTCTTAAGATTAAAAAGAAATTAGTCTTTAATTTAGGGAAGATTCTGCAATGTGTAAGTAAACTCCATGACAGCAAGGACTGTGTCTGGGTTCGTGAACAACAACCCATGTTTGTTGATTGACAAAAGAACATTTCTACGTATCCTTGAGATCATGAAGTGGCGGTATAGAGAGGGCTTTAAGGACAATCTGCCCATTTGCTGTTGGGGGCAGATGAGATTTGCGATGGGAAGGGACCTGCCCTAGGTCTCACCACTAACTAGAATTAAGTTCCCTAAATCCCCTCTCAGGGCTTTTTCTATGCATTGAGTTGCCTGTGTCCACCTCCAAGACCCTGGGAAACCTGAGAAACTAAGATGAAAGAACAAGTACTTAAACTTGGAAGGGAAAGGGGTGTTAGGATCACATTCTTTACATCTCATTCTATAGCACAAGGAGCTGGATTTGGAAACAAGGCGGACACACACTTGTATCCCCACACTGCTCTCAGTGGGCTGTAAGAGTTTGGTCAAGTTGCTAAACTTCTGGTCTTCAGCTAACACTTCTGATCCATGGGGACTGCCTAAAAGAGGCTGTTGTGGGACTTCTGGAGAGGGGTTTGCAAAACTGCAACTCACACTACCACTCAGAAGTGAGAAAAATATCATTCTGTTATCTTGCCAATAACTGATCTGTTCTCACAAGCCCTTCTTGCATTGGTTAGCAAAAATAAAACCTAACTAATGGTCCAACTCTATTTAAAATTTAGTCTAAATGGGTATATAAGAGTTTCAGTTTGGGCTAATGAAAAGTTCTGGAGATGGAGGATAGTGGTGATGTTTGCACAACAATGTGAATGCATTTAATGCCACTGAACCGTATGCTTAAAAATGGTTAAAATGGTAACTTGTGTGTATATTTCACCACAATACAAGAAGGTTTAGAAAACACCGTGTAGTTTAATCTGATCATCTAGATGGTCTGTTCCAGTAGTGCTCAGTCACTTTTGCAGAGATCTCTCTTAGATTCCTGGGGTTTGGGTCTCACTGCTTCTGCCTAAGACTGTTTGGATATGGTAGAAACCTTGGCGGTGTTGGCTTATGTGACCTGCGGCTGAGGGAAGAGTTGAGGTCCTCGGACACGGTTCCCTTGGTGTCCTCTGGCCCCCTTGGCCACCTGAGTGCTGACTCCCTCCACTCCCCACCCTTCGTCCGATGCCTCTGGGCTGAAGAAACACCAGCTGTTGTGACATGTCAGAAATTTCATTGTGACCAAGTTTGGGCAGCAGTGTTGTGGCTTCATTACCAAGGAGAGGAACCTTGAGTCATCCTGGCTGTGAGTCCATCTCTTCTCCTTCCAGTCACCAGCTTGGTCGAGCCCACATCCCCTTCTCACATCACTGCTTGGGAGTCCTCTATTACGAAGCCATCTCACCACACTGCGGTTGTTGACTCACCCACCAGCTTCCTACCAGGCTGGAAGCTTCTGCAGGTGGAGGACTGTGTATTCCCAGTGCCTAGGTCCACTCCCGGCTCAATGTTTTCAAAGACTGTGTCACAGCAGCTGCTGGGTGCTCCCAGTCTCAAGCCCTTTTTAGAATATCCATAAGATATTACAAGGGAAGGAGGAGATTATGGTCCTTACCTTTAAATTTCAAAGACAGCACAAAAGCAACATACAAAATTTCATGAAAAGAAACGTATACTTTTACCAACATACTATTTTCGAAATCCTAGAACAATCATGAAATTAGAAGGTGGTGTCCCAGCTCCGTGGTGATCAAATGTTGACCAACAAACTGTGTGGCACTGTGTGGGTTTGAACTACCTGGGGTATCGCCAGGACATCAGCCAAATCTGAGCATCACTGCTTATGTTGACGTATCTTCCCAGTCTGTTATCTGACCAAATTATGGCAGTTAATAAATAGGAGAGCCTGCTCAGAGCTCCTTCAAACCATTATAACAATAATAATATCAAGGAGAACCGAAGAGTTTCTAAAAAGCAGTTCATCATAATTCATCCTTGGTAAAATACATGCAAGTCAAAGTCATTTACCAAATTCTGTCCTTTCGAAGGCTCTTCTACCTATTTACTTACTGAAAATTCCTCTGAATGCTCAGACTTGATCTATTCTGTGAATAAGAGGCCCACGTGCTTGTTTTTCTGTTTGCACTGGCTCTTCCCCTGCCCCGGCCTCTGTGCCTATTTGGGTTCGGCTATGAAGGCTCACTGCTAGGACAGTGGCAGCTGGAGGAGACAAAGGTTGGGATAGTTCTTCCTTACTCTGGATTGTTCTGGCAAGGACTGCATGTCTCTCTCCAACTACAGCTCCTGATGGCTGTTCCCTCCTCAGATACTCCAGCTACTGCGGGGTAGTAATGACCTCCCCCTGCTGGTAATCATTTGCAGGCTGTAGCCTGCTCATAACCCTGCAAGTCGTGGTTTCATTTAAGTCTCTCGAACCATCTGCATGGGATTCTATTTCCTGCAGAAGCCCCAAATAATAGTCCATAATAAGAAATCCTTTACTATGTCAACTAGTAGGGGGCAGTGATATCCTGATTTACTAATCGCTGGCAGACATTAACCATGTTAATGTTGATATTTCATTAGTATGACTAGAAAATAAAGGACTAAATTTCTAGACTAATGGCTTGGAACTTGGACCTCCAAATTGTATTGCCTTTTCAAAGCTGACCCCTTAAGATGCTTTAATACCAATATGTTAAAATAATGACCAACATGTTAAAATAGTCTGAGGCTGCCTTTTAAGATTTCCTTTAGTGTCTGTAACACATTATTTTGAATAATGCTGGAAAATTGGCACTAATCTTGTTATTATGTTTATATACAAATTTCACTAATTGTCCTCAAAATGTCTTCTACAGCTATTCTTTTCTTTTAAGCCAGGATCCAATCAAGGTTCATGAATTGTTTCTGGATGTCTCTTTAAGTTCGTTTAGGGATGCAGAGATGACTTTATGTAAGTAACTCTGCAATCTAGTGCATTGTATAACACCATAAATACATCAACAGAATCAAATGGAACTTTAGAGAATGCTAAGGGTGTTCCTGGCATTGCAAAGGACTCAACCTATGTGTGGGAGAGGAGCTGGTCATTCGTAAGGGCCAATAAACTGATGCGAATAGAAAAAGCACTTGCCTTTTCATGTTAGGACACACAGAAAATAATGACATTTCCTTAGCACGCTGGGCTAGACAGAAGGGTTCCTGTCTGGGGCTCCTGCTGCCTCAGGCCCCCATTCTAAGGGCTGGGGCAGGAGTCCTCAAACTTTTTAAACAGCTTGAGGCCAGTTCACTGTCCCTCAGACTGTTGGAGGGCCGGACTATAGTTTAAAAAAACTATGAATAAATTCCTATGCGCACTGCACATATCATATTTTGAAGTAAAAAAATAAACGGGCAAAAACACCCACATGTGGCCCGCGTGCCGTAGTTTGAGGACGCCTGGGCTGGGGGATCTGCATTTGCGGCATGCCTCAGAGATTTCGGGGGTGAAGTTGTGGCAAGTCTACACTTTCCAAGATTCTCTGTGTTCCAGAGTATTCCAGGGTAGTTCTGTCCCCTTTCGGCAGCCACATATACCCGTCAATCTGGAAAAACAAAGACAATGGTGGCCTTTTTCCATGTTGTTTATTCACTTTCAACTAGCTACATGAGGGGGATAAACACATTAATAGGAGCTTTTTGGGGAGACATTGGGTATAGAGGGAAGGGTAGGATTTAAACAGAAAATAATTTTGCAAACAGTTAAGTGAAAGATTCGTAAATATCCATTTAAAAAAAACAACAACAGTATCCTCTGAGGTAACAGAGGAAGATAAAATCGCAAATAAAATAGTCACTTGTGATCACTGCATTCCCCAAGACCAAAGTCTCTGAAAATGGTTTGCATTTGAGACTGTCATGATTTGCAGATATTTATGTGACGCAGACTTCCAACACAGAAAAAGAACGACTAACACTGAGTCACAGATTAATACAAGGCAGAGGAAAATTGAGCACATGAAAATAGCTATCATCTGGTAGCAAAAATAGATTTATGCTGATGTTGATATCAAAATTAAAGACATTCAAATAAACTATGCCAATACATTGGAACTACTATTCCTAAGATCATACGAACAATTTCTCGTTGCTTCTGCTCGTAACGAAAAGGTCTGAGGAGGAGAGTCTATGATCGCCGGAGGCATAACGTAACTCGTAGTGTAATGTCGTAGGCACCTACCTCAAGGTTCAACAGCCAAATAAAAACTTTATTATTTTTCTTTTAGGCTAGACATCTTTAGCAGTAGAACAAGATCCCTCATCATAAATCCGGAAAATACAGAGGAAGGACAGTGCTTGAAGCCTAAGCAAATAATGTATTGGATGTAATCGAAAGTAGAATTGGAGAAAATAGCAGCTCCAATGAAGTAAACATTAACAAATAAAGTCAGTTTGTGTATTTTCCCCCCAGAGTTCCACTGGAAGCACAGGAAGACCGTGGCGATGCTCGGGCATCCTGGTGCTTGTCGCCTGCAAGTGAACCCTCATCTCTTTAGTCAGGACCAGAACCAGCCTGGCCTGGGGAGGGGAATTACATGGAGAGGCTTTTATTATTACCTTTGACTCAGGGAAATCACAGCCCTGGGGTGCTTTGGGGCCTGGGAAGGGCACTGTAGCTTGCCTGCTACACTGGACACTCTTGGCTCCTTCCTGAATGCACTTCCTACAGTTTGGGGGAGTTAATAGTGGCAACAGGAACATCTGAAGCGCAGGGTGGTTGCCTGCACAAAGTCCTTTTTTCTAAGAATTTCTGTGTAATTCACCAGAAATTTAGGATAGAATATTAGGAAGTAAGATAGAAGTCAAACTATGTATCTCAAATAGTACAGTGATTGGCATTATTGAATAGGGAGATTTAAAGTCTAGAAAATTAAATTCTACTTCAATTCTTCCCAAAGAATGCCGTGTTCCTGTTTTCTCCATCTCAAAAACATAAAGTGTCGCAGAGGTAACAATTTGGTGGAAAGATGCTTTTGAGAAAACGGACAGAAGGAAAAAAGAAGCCATTTCCTCCTCAAGATAGTTTTAAGCTTATGATAACAGGATGCATCACCAAGCTGTTTAAAGTTCAGAAAAGTCCTTTGTCTATGCCAGTACTGACTAGCAGACTTCCAAATTTGCATATAGTTCTGTATCATATTTTAATTCATCTCCAACCCCATCTCAAATGAGATGACAATGGAGGTGATATTTGGTCCAGTTTTTCTTTTGATTCCAAATTAAAGCATAAGACCAATTGAAATAACCACATTGGGACAATTAAGGAATTTCCAAATACTGCATGACAATGCTATATCCGAATAGGCTATAGGTTTTTTGTTGCTGTTTTTTTTTTTTCCTTTTTGGGCCAGCCTGTGGAACAGGCCAATTTTACAGCCAGTATTACTAAAATTTTACATTTACCCTCACATTGTGAAAACTAGATTTGTTTTCCCCTTGAGTACCCTTAAATCTACAGCCTGCTTCCTCATGTCTGTGAACAGAATTCGGATAAATGCTTAAAAAGAAAAGAACAAAGCACATACCAAAGAATTTGTGCCATTCAACTGCTTAGAAATGGAAATGGCATTCACATTGTGTTCATCTTGGCATCTCCATAAAATGGAATAAATGAATCTCATATTTAATGAGTTGTTTTAAAATGCCAGTCACTTGCAGATTCCAAGAGGCTACAGATCCACTTTAAGTAACTCTCCATTTTGAAAATGCAATACTGTCCAACTAGCTATTTGGTGTGATGCTGAAAAATTGTGCATTCTTTTCCCTTTAATTTACTCTGCATTTGTTACATTCTATATGCTCTGGATTTCTTTAAATATCAAAAAATGTTTTCAGGAGAAATCTTTTTACCATATCATTAAAACATGAGCTTCCATAAAATTGTTATGGACATTAGAATAAAAGGCTTAACAATTAGGCTTTGGTTTTAACGTAATCTGGGCAGAAGCTGGAATTGCTCTGATAACACAATTCAACTACTGCACAAATTATATTAATTTGAAATAAGACATTTAAAAAGACAAAGTTTCCTCTTTTAGAAGTTATAATATATATTATTCAAGACTGCTCCAAAACTCACAAAAGAGCGACATGAGTAACAAGAAATTGTAGGAAAGGGCTAAGACATTTAAAGCTTTATCAGAACACAACACAAAGGAAGAACATCAATTTTCTACGTTTGTCTATAAGGCAGATGGTCGAACTTTTTATACAAGATCTAAAATACAGTGCTTATTTGGAGGTAGAAAATACTAAAACAGCATTTAAGAAAAACATGTTGAGTTATTCAAAACAATCGGTTATTTTGCTAAAGTTTTAGAAAGTCAAATTGCTGTGTGGAATGAACTGTATGTTTTACGCTAAACTGGGACGTTCCATACTCAACAGAGACGGTCAAACAGGAGGGGTCAAAAAGCTAGGGGTGGAATGGGAAGCAGGAAATAACTTCTTAATTTGTCAAGGATTCAGCTCTCCCTAAGGAGAAATTTCCCACTACCTCTCTGGGATGCCATTACGATATTTCATTAATGGGGAATTCTCTAATTAATGACAAATTCTCTGAGCAACAGGGTATGATTTTGTATATAAGGCAATAGAAACTACAGGAAAGAATTAGCTCAAATGCCTCTTCTTCAAGAAGGTGCCGGATCCATCATACATAAAAACGTATCCCACTAATCTTATACCCTCCCCCTAATCACTAAAATGCAAATGAAAATATTCTTCAGACTCCAGCACCAGCAGAATTGTTCTGAATGAGCAACTCAAGAGCTGTCTGAGGCAAAAAGATATTTCAGCTACCAAATTAAACTCTGGTAGCTTACGCGTGGGCGAGTAACCCTGGGTATTCTTATTTCTTAATGCACCTGGGAGAGGTTGACTTTTTTCCTCCAACATAATTTATAAGGCATAAATTTAATTTGAATTTTCCCTAACCTTTGGAAAATTAGTGTTAAAGCTTCTTTTTTTTTTAACCCACACATTAACATTCAATCTTTCATTTTTATTAAATAGTTCATATATAAAAAGAAATATCAAGGTGTTCTACATTCATATAAACAATCAGGATAACATTTGAAATCGTAAAGAAACCCACTGAAGAAAATATGTACTTAAATACAACGCTAAGCTAAGCACAAGTGATCATTCTAGATAATATCTTTTAAATATATAGACACAGGTTTGTGCTGCTCCAGGAAGCAAGCACGGGAGAAGTACACCAACATTTCTTTCTTCTTCTTTACTTTTTCACCACAAGACAGGATGGTCCAGTTTGGAAAAGCCAAGGTCCTTTCTAAGTTCTAAATAGGTGCCGTTGCTCACCCAAGAGTCATCGTTGGATTTCCTGTGAAAGATGAGACAATTTCTTGCAGATTCTTAAAAATAGTATCACATTCTCTCTCTTTCCCTCCTCTCCTCCCTCCTTCCCCACCATCATTCCCACATGCATACAACATCCCTGAGAGTCCAGTATTGATTGGAACGAAGAACTGGAAGCCTGGAAACTGTTTTGATACTTCTGACTTTAACTTCTCAATCTTAGAGGCTGAGAACAGTGGTGCTTCTGAGAGAAGGGCGGGGAAGGGGGGGAGGGGAGTCTGTCATTTATAAAACATGGCTAGGATGACAGTCACCGGAACCAAAGACATAAAAGCCACACATCAACCAGGTTGTTCTTAGGAGCTGATAAGTTAACATTTTAAAAAAGGGAATTGGCAGTTGTAACAGTCTAAAGAGAATACTCTTGATTTACTATTTTTTGAATTGATAATATATGACATAGATCAAAATTCAAAGGCACAAAAGGGTACATAGCTAAAAGTTTTCTTCCTACCCGTCTCCTAGCCCTCTGCTTCTTCGCAGAGGCAGTGATGGTATCAGCTTCATCTTTTCAGAAAAATTCCATCCCCATGTGTACATGACACACACACTACCCTCTCCCATTCTGACACAATGTTGTACTAGACACAGCGACAGACGATAGACGTATCGACTTTTTGAGATAACAGTATATATTGGAGATCATTTCCCATTAGCACAGTAAGGCAGGAGTCCACAAGCTACAGCCCAAGGGTCAAATCCAGCCTTCTGCCTACCTTTGAAATGCTGTTTTATTGGAACACAACCATGCCCATTTATTTAAATATTGTTCATGGTTGCTTTCACGCCGAACAGCTGGGTTGAGTAATTGCTACTGAGACCTTATGGCCTGCAAACCCCACAATATTTATCATTTGCTCCTTACAGGAAAAGTTTGGTGACTCTAGCAATAAGGGATTCTTTATTTCCCTTTTTAACAGTTGTATGACATCCCATTGTATGAATGAACCGTAATTTATCTAACAGGTACCCTACAGATGGGCACTTAGGTTATTTTCAAACTCTGGCTATTATAAACAAGCATGTGCTATTGTCTATGTGTGTCAGTACAGTTACATTAAAAATTCCTGTAATTAGCACGGCTGAGTCAAAGAATATGTACATTTGTAATTTTGACTGATACTGCAGTGTTTTTGGAGGCAAAAGTGGATGGTGCCTGTTTTCCCAACTCTCAGGAAAGCAGATTTTTATCACAATTGTTTCCCTATTCCAATAAAGGGATGTGTTTGAAATGAGCCAACCTGTGTATCAGATAGCTCACTATTTTGAAAGAAAGAGGATCAATTCTGCCTGGGCTACGGCTTCCACTTAGACTTCCCAGAGATGTTTTTGTTGGTCCTTGGCAGGGGTTAATGACAACATCCAAGTGCCCATATTCCTCTCTGAAATCTCTTTGCCAGGTTTCTAACTTCAACAGTTGCAAACAGATACTGCTACGGCTGAACAACTCTCACTTTTTCTCCAATGTTTAAAATTTCCCCCATACAATGCTATGATAACACTATAGACAATCAAAAAGAAAAAGAGGAACGGCCACCTCGGCTGTCGTGGCCTTCAACCCTTTCCCACTTGGACCTAATTCCTTTGTGACTGGGATAACAGCACATGTAACATTCTACATTTTGCACTTAAATGTTAATTTGTTTCCCATAGAGCCCCACAGACTTGATGACATCATTTTTAATGCTTTCAGGTTGGATCGAGTTGATGAATCTCCTTAACCTGTCCTTGAGACAGTTTGGTTACCCACAATTTTTAATGATCCTAAAAGGTACTGCAGTGAACATCTTTATAAATGTAGGTTTTCCTTTTTTTTTTAAAAAAAGAAACTAGATGATCTATTAAAAAAAAAGAATTGACCTACTGAAGGGTATATGTGTACGGCTATTGACTGATCAGTAAATCAATTGATGTGTGTTAATCTATTTTTCTATCCCTTGTCCTTTTCAAAAATGAATTTAACATGTCTATCCTATTTTTAAAGTGTTTAAACAAAGTTTTGAATATTTCGGGATATAATTCTGGCCAGTTATCCTCAATCACTAATATCCTGAATTCATGGACATATTCAGAAAGGATCTGGTAGAATCTACATCAACTTTAGAAAAAAGAGCATTATATTTTAGAGATAAAACATTATTTGTTGCTATTTTGATGTTTTAGAATACATATTTTATTGCTGCTACTGATAGATTAGTAGCTAAGTCCTTCTAAAAGTACTTCTGGTGTTGATTAAAAACAAAAATGCAAACTAAAAAACACCCCAAAACAACAACAAAACCCTGGTTGCCATGGAAACAGGACTGGGGTGGGAGAAGTTAGGAGCTTGCTGCTTTTCTACATATGCCTCTTTTAACATTGATTTTTTTTTTTTTAAACAAGAACAAACAAAAAACCTAAACCCGTAGAGAGACTGGCATAGCAGTCAGAAGAGCAGGCCCCAGTCTGGGACATTCCACTGGGTCCTTCAACAATCACCTGCACTCCCTGGGCCTTTGCTTCTTCTCAGTTTACAATGAAAGAGGGAAGTGAGGAGGTGAATGAAGGGCTGAGGATCTTTCATGCCCCTTTAAAAATTTAAGTCTATTTTTAACAAGACCCTCTTAGCAAGTTATCTTAAAAATAACAGTAAATGTTCCAAAATCCAAGCCCAAGTGCATTGGAACTTCTATAAATCCAAGAATTAGACTACTTGGAATTTCCCTATTGGTAAAAGCAGCAGGGTGATCATTAATTATCTCTATCTTCGTGTAAAATATATCTCTGGGGGTGGCCAACCTTAGCTATGAATTTAATAAGCTGGCCTGGCATCCAGGCGGCTCTGACAGCCTTGCTCACTGAGAGCCTCCTCTGCAGGCTCACAGGGCGAACACGGCAGGGAAAACAGCGGCCCTGCTCCGGCCTCAGGACAGCAAGAGCGACAGCCCGGAGGCAGGGGCCGGGGAACGCAGGCCCTGGCACAGAGGAGGGCTTTCACCACCCTGCAGCAGGAAGGGCATGTAGACCGCTCCCATCTGGGGAGAGGACAGTCCTGCTCATTTTCTGCAGACCAGAAGTGTGACATGCCAGCATCATCCATCAGCCAACGACCCCCCCAGGCACCAACCTGAAAAACCGGGGCTGGTGCTCCACGTTATTATCTTCTAAGACCCGCCGCCTTTCTCTCTGTAGCTGTTCGATCCTCTGCTTTTGTATTTCAGCTTCTTCTATGTTCCCTTCTTCTAGAAACCTGAGGCATTGAGGGAAAAAAATACAGGGAGATCAACTCCAAGAAAACATAACAATTGTTCCCACTAAACTTGCAAGTGTCCCAGTTCCCACTAAACTTGCAAGTGGATATTTAAAATCCTCTCTTCTGCCTAAGACCCCTCCCCCAACCCTTTGAACAATGTTTTGCAGTGGTCAGGGAAGATAATATCTTGCGTGTCCTTCTAGAGATTCTTTCTGCATATATAAGCAAATATTAATATATATTCTTTTTTTTTTTTGAGACAGAGTCTCACTTTGTTGCCCAGGCTAGAGTGAGTGCCGTGGCGTCAGCCTGGCTCACAGCAACCTCAATCTCCGGGGCTCAGCAATCCTACTGCCTCAGCCTCCCGAGTAGCTGGGACTACAGGCATGCGCCACCATGCCCGGCTAATTTTTTGTATATATATTTTTAGTTGGTCAATTAATTTCTTTCTATTTTTGGTAGAGACGGGGTCTCGCTCAGGCTGGTTTCGAACTCCTGACCTTGAGCAATCCGCCTGCCTCGGCCTCCCAAAGTGCTAGGATTACAGGCGTGAGCCACCACGCCCGGCCTAATATATATTCTTACTGCTCCCTCCCTTTTAGAAATAAAAATGGTAGTGAGCTATACATACTATTTATACCATAATCTTTTGTTTTGCTTTACTTTTTACTTAACAATATGTTTTAGGGGCTGGGTGCGGTGGCTCACGCCTGTTAATCCTAGCACTCTGGGAGGCCAAGGCGGGAGGATTGCTCCAGGTCAGGAGTTTGAAACCAGCCTGAGCAAGAGCGAGACCCTGTCTCTACTATAAATAGAAAGAAATTAATTGGCCAACTAGTATATATAGAAAAAATTAGCCGGGCATGGTGGCACATGCCTGTAGTCCCAGCTGCTCGGGAGGCTGAGGCAGAAGGATTGCTTGAGCCCAGGAGTTTGGGGTTGCTGTGAGCTAGGCTGACGCCACGGCACTCTAGCCTGGACAACAAAGCGAGACTCAGTCTCAAAAAAAAAGAACAATATATTTTGGAGATCTTTTCTTTCCATGGTAGTATGTGGACATCTTCATTTTTTAATAGCTGCATAATATTCAGTTGTGTGCATATACTTTAATATATTTAAATAATTGCCTATTGATAGACATTTGGATTGTCCCCAATTTTTTATAGTAATAATATATCCTTCAACGAATAACCTTATATATCCATTATTTTGCGCATGGGTAAATAGGAGAAATCAGTAGAAGAAATTTCTAGAAGTGGGATTGCTGGGTTAAAGGGTGAGTTTGTAATTTATATACTACCAAATTGCCCTTTATGGGGATTACAGCAATTTACATTCCCACCAACAATGTTATGAGAGAGCCCTTTTCTCCTACAGCCTCAGAATGTAACAAACTTCAGAATTTTTGCCAATCTGATAGGTTAAGAAATGGGGTGTCAACACGGTTTTTAAAATTTGCATTTTTCTCATTATGAATGAGGCTGAGCATCTTTTTACCTGCTTAAGGGACATCTGCATTTCCTATTTTGTGAACTGTTTATTGTCCTATGTCCATTTTTTTCTAATGCGCTGATCTATTACTTGATTTCTAGAAGCAATTCATGAGGAGTTGCAGATGTAGACTGCTCAGTTTGTCATTATCTTTTGACCTTATATATTTTTATTTATTTTGCCATAAAGAAGGGTTTTTATTTTGTTTTTCTTTTCTTTTGTTCTAACTAATACTTAGCTCATGAAATGTTTGTTTTTAATAAAGCCAAATGTAATAATCTTTTTTTTTGGGGGGGGGGCCTCCTGGATTTTGAGCCTTACTTAGAAAGGCCTCAGGGGCGAAATAATTATTTCCATTTTGCAGAGTAGGAAACTGAGGCTGAGAAAGATGAGGACTTATCACATGTCACACAGCTTGTTAGCAGCAACTTAGAATTAGTAGTTAGATCTCAGTGCACCAAAATAATTTAAACTCGAGGGGCCTAAGGGAAATGGATGCTTTTCTCTCCTTCAAATGCTCAATGAGTTTTTTATGATTGCATGCAGCAAAACTCTTCAAAATCAATACCTTTTATTTTGGCATTTCACTAGAAACAGGACTTCACTGAAAATACAGGCCATGTCCCACATAGATCTAAGCTGGACTCCATTTTCTGCACGACACAATTGCTGAAAGCCCCCCTACACCTCTCTACTCGCGGTGACATTTTCTACCTCTGTCAGGTGCTTCTGCGGCCTGGGGGTTGTTAATAAGACTTTTTGTAAAGAGTTTTACATCTCTGGAGAGAAAAATCTTTAAAAAATCCTTACCTTTGGTCTGGCCTAAATCGAGTGTCAGTAGGTGGCAATAAAGACTTTGACAACGGATCTATTTCATTTAATTCTAGCGCAAACTGTGTGAAGCCATAATATTGTTCATAGCCTTTTGGCATGGGATCTAAAAGAAAAATAAATCATTCATCCTTAAATTGCATTTCATTTAGGTTACATTTTATTTTATTTTATTTTTTTTTTTTTTCGACTTTGATCGTACTGTCGAATAGGTTACATTTTAATTCCTTTACCTTTTTCATCTCAGACTGGCTACAATTTTTCTCCCTTAGCTTTAAACCGCTCCATTTCTATTAAAACATTCTGACTAATGAACAGATACTGAATATTTCTCTCTAAATTTTCTTCTCTATCAGTTTTCTTCTATCTACAGGGGTACGGCCTCCTTCCTGCATTCAGATTAGCAAATTTATACAATGCTGTGAAGCTTAGGTACTGTTTAAGCTATGAAATGAACTTTGATATTAAAATAAACATGCTAAAAAGAACTCTGGGACCATTTTTCCTGACTAAGAAGACTCTCACTCTAGAGAATCCATTTTTTATTTCAGCAACATCAGATTGTCCTGCGACTCTGTCTAGCACCTAGAATGGTGCTGAACCTGTAGCAAGTGCTCAATAAATGTTATTCTTTCCTTCCATTCCCCTGCCCTTCTTTTACCAACCCTTGCTCCCCCAAATTTTACATCTTTAACTTTAAAACATTAGGTACATTGCCCTATCTTGAATTCCAGCTAAAAATCAAGCTCAACATACCCAAACTTACATATTGGGTAAATCAAATGCAGCCTGATAAAATCCACTCAAAACCTCTCACTGTTCTCACATAACAAAATAAATACTTTTCCGCAGATCCATTTTTGGAAGCTTCAGAAATCCTCCTTGTAACTAGTCTAATTCCCTGTATTATCTTAAGCATGAAAACGATAGAAAAGCTTCCTGCTGTGAATTCAAAAAACTACCCCATGTCCCCAGCCACCAGAGAGTGAAGATAGTGGATTTTCTTAAAGATGGGCCAGGATGCTCATGGCCAACAGAGAGACATAAAGTCAAGAAATAAGAACATGCAAACTTCAACTGTGTTGCTTTGGCAAGGTACTACTTCAACACTGAGAGAGAATGGCAGTTCTCATCTGTGGTGCATGCTTTAAGCAAAGGAGAGAGACTGTCCCATTTGCAAAATCTCACGGGTGCCGCTGAAGCTAGGAAGGCCTCCATTGGTGCCAATTCATTCTAGCTTTGTGGCAACCCCTGATACAGTGGAAGATGTGGCTGCCACCCATTGACAGAGCCACTGTTGGCCGCCTACTCTACCACCGTTGCCCTTTCTTACTTGCTAACGGAACACTCAGGCTATTAAGTTGGCGTTGTACCCTTGCCAGGGATGAATCTAAACCCAGCGAAATCACTCCTGCCCACTCTGTTGCCCATGACTGGTTTACAGATGGGTCTGGACCCACTTTAGGCTGATGTGATGTAAAGACACATTTGCTGGGGGATCTTAGGATATATTGCATTCCTAAGACAAGAGAGTTGCAAGAGAAGAAAGGTCTTTTGTCCTCCCCTTCTTCCATGCTTGGTGTGCTGTCACGCAGAGATATGATATTGAATCGTGACAACCATTTTACATCCATGAGAAGAAACGTCACAGCCCACTGGGAGTGGCAGAATGTGTCCTCACTGATCAGTGTCCTTGACACAGGTAACAACCCTAGAGCCACCCACTTTTTGCTAAGTAACAGCACATATCCTAATGGTTTAAGGCACTAGTAGAATGTTTTTCTTTTTTCTTTTTTTTTTTGGTAAAGGGTTTATCAGCTTAAAGTGTCCTAAGAGATATAGCTCAGAACAATGGTTTTACAATATGACTGTGACTTGGAAACAACATCTTTTTCAGACTAGAAGATGGAATAAGATGCCAAAATGTTGTGGGGACATTTGGATGAAAGTTGGGACTCCCTAGTCCTTCTCCCCATTAGCTACCTCAAGGGCTCAGTGTCCTTCTGGATGAGAGGGGAGATCAGAATGGTGTTGGGTCAACCTTGGGGATTGCTAACTCCTGCAGCACTTCCGAGCCATTGTTTTTCTGGTAACCCTTTCCTCTTTTGTCCTCACTCTGGAATGACTTCTTGCATTTCACTGATATTCTTGCATAACACCCAGCATCATCCCGTGTGTGGACTGGAAGACTCTCTCAGAGAACGCCCGCGGATCAGCCATGGCTTTGTTCAGGACCCAGCTGCCCAGCAGAGGCGTTGCTGTAACCACGACGAGGAGTTGGAGGTAGGATTACAGGAATGAAAGAAGGACCAACACCTCTAACCTGGTTCAAAGCAGGAGAGGCTGGAGGCCACCAGTGGACACTGCCCCCTGCCCACCGTGGCTCCACTTGCCCTGCCCACCCGCCTGCCCCTGCTTGGCGTCCACCAACCCGGTCACTCACTTGCTCTCCAGACACAAAGGGACGAGGAGGAGCCGCCACAGTAGATGCTTTCGTGCCATTTCCCGAACAGCCGATGCACGGGCTTTCCACTCCTGTCAAACACCGTGCCTTCGATCTCATGGGCGTTGGTGCTCCAGTATTTTGCCTACGATTCAAATGACAACTGTGTGCTTAGTAGTTTGGCACCAGCTTATTACAGATATCAAGAAAAAAAGAAAAAAAAAAAGCAAGAGAAAGAACTGTAAGAGTGGTTCTATACCTCATATAATTCACCAGTTCTGGGTTCTATTTCTATTTAATTGACAAAAAAAAATTGTATATAACATGTTTTAAAATATATATGCATTATCGTGTATATATGATGGCTAAATCAATCTAATTCACGTATGTATTAACTCATATGCTTATCATTTATTTTTGATGAGAACACTTAAAAACTACTCTCAGCAATTTTCAAGTATACAATACATTGTCATTAACTATAGTCATGTTGTATAATAGATCTCCTGACTTATTCTTCCTATCCAATTGAAATTTTGTAACCTTTGCCAGCATCTCCCCAATCTTCCCCCTCACTCTCCTACAAACCCATGTTAACCATCATTCTACTCTCTGTTTCCATGAGTTCGACTTTTTTTAATTCCTCATACGAGTGAGATCATGTGGTATTTGTCTTTCTGTGCCTGGCTTATTTCACTTTGCATAATGTCCTCTGGGTTCATCCATGTTGTCACAAACGACAGGATTTCCTTCTTAAAGGCGGAATAGTATTCCATTGTGTATATATACCACATTTCTTTACCCATTTATCCATTGATGGACACTTAGGTTGCTTCCATATCTTGCTGATTGTGAACAGTGCTGCAGTAAACATGGCAGTGCAGATATCACTTCAAAATGCTGCGTTCATTTCCTGTGGATATATACCCAGTAGTGGAACTGCTGGATCATACAGTAATTCTGTTTTTAATTTTTTGAGCAACCTCTACTGTTTTCCATAATGGCTGCACTAATTTACATTTCCACCAATGGTGTCGCCAAAACTTAGCTTTCATTTTTTTTATAACAAGCATTCTAACAGATGTGAGATGATATCTCACTGTGTTTTTAATTTGCATTTCCCTGGTGATGAGTGATGTTGAGTATTTTTTTCATATATCTGTTGGCCAATTGTATGTCTTCTATGGCGAAATGTCTATCCAGGTCCTTTGCTCATTTTTTAGATCAGCTTGTTTTTTTTACTATTGAGTTAGGTTCCTTGTATATTTTGTATATTAACCTCTTACCAGAAGTACAGTTTGCAAATATTTTATCCCATTCTGTAGGTTGTATCTTTACTGTATTGATTGTTTCCTTCTCTGTACAGAAGCCTTTTAGTTTGATATGATCCCATTTGTCTATTTTTGCTCTCATTGCCTGTGCTTTTGGTGCTATATTAAAAAAAAAATTACTGCCTCAATCAATGTCATGAAGCTTTTCTCCCTATGTTTTCATTTAGTAGTTCTATAGTTTCCAGTCTCATGTTTAAGTTTTTAATCCATTTTGAGTTGATTTTTTATGTGGTGTGAGGTAAGATTCTAATTTCATTCTTCTACATATGGCTATCCAGTTTTCCCAACACCATTTATTTTTTTTTTTTTTATTTAATCTTCCTCTTCTACTGGAGAACACCATTTATTGAAGAGAATGCCCCCATTATGTGTTCTGGGCATCTTTGTCAAAAATAATTAAGTGTAAATGTGTGGATTTATTTCTGGGCTCTCTATTTATATTCCATTGGTCTATGTGCCTGTTTTTGTGCCTGGGTTTTGGCTTTTTAATTTTAAATTATATCTTTAGTTATTTAAAAAAATTAATAGTTAACCCAACATTTGTGTAAGATACATTTTTTTTCTACTTTTGCTACATATAATATAGAAAGGAAAAGCTCAGTTCTACTCTTAGACGTCAGTCAAGTAGTGTGGTTGACCTGAAACAGCCGGCCCATGGCTGCCACTGTGTCTCTTACAGCACCGTGGCCCTGACTACTGCAACTTAAAAGAAATTTAACTCATAATTTTCTTTTCTCTAAAGGAACTAGATGGTCCTTGGCAAACCAATCAAAGAGGTGGTTTGAATTTTCAATTTCTTTTATCATTTTTTCCCCCAACTTAGGATTGCCCATAGGAACTTTGTGCATCCCATGTTCTGTGTATTGGTCACGGTCTATGAGACAGCTTTGCACTCTGCTCAGCCCAGCTCAGGCTTGTGGGTGTTATACAGTACCACACTCACACCAGCAGAGGGAGCTACAACTCCCTGGAGTTGATTTTCCCCCCCAAACCTCCCAATTACCTGACTGCCCTAAAAATCTCTATGAAAGAACAGAAGGCATTTCTCCATAAATCAAAAATCCTAGTACTAAATTCAGCCAAAACAGAATCCGTATTTGGAAACAAATAAAGTTGAATGGCATTTTCAGGTCATATGCTGATGGTTCAACTTCCCCCTTCCAAGGTTATGGTAAAAATGGGCTGAATTAGAAGTTTAAAGTTGAGTTCTCTAGCTGTTTAAGAATGGAGAGAAGTGGCAAGGTGGGGGGGGGGAGACACAATACAGGCTCTTACGTTTATTTTGAAGCAGGAGTCAGTTTTTTTTAGAGATATTTGCCAAAAATCCAATGCTGTCAATCTGACGGGAGCCACAGAGGAACACCATCATATTCTATAGGTAACGGTGGCACCTGCTTTCAGGTTCTCTGTCAACACCAGAGGCCCATCATTTTGTGTCTCATAACCACAAAAATCCACTTTCTGCTTCTCAGCGGATGAGAACCAGAACACGGGAGCTCAGCAACATTCCTTGGGGTAAACGTCGAGAGCTAGGTGGCTCCCACCTGGGTCACTGGCAATATATCCCTGCCCTAGGCTGCATTTCGTTTCTTTTTGCAGAGAGCTTGGACGAAGTTTTCAAAGTAGGATCATTTTTCTTTTGCCCCATATATAAGGTCATTACCAGCTTTACGTCTGTTTACAATCATTGACTTACAAGATGTAATAAAGACACCACTCCACCTCTTTATAAGCGTGCCCTGTGGATTGCAGGTGGTGCAGAGAAGTATTGCATGAAATTCCACAATTAAAACCTAATCTCTCGGCTTATGATTTTGATCTTTGTTAAATGCAAATATTCCTTGAGGAGGGTAATGTTTTAAAGCCACCTTAAAAAGTACCTGAGATTTTTATGGGCAAGAAGGAATCTAGGAGCGAGAGAAGGTGGGGAAGGCCTCCAATTAAGGTGGTTAGAGCAATAAAGAGACTTCTGCATACTTTTTGCCTCTGGCCAATCTTTCCATTTATTCCATGAATGTTTACGAGCCTTTGCTGCATGCCAGGCACCACTCTGGGCATCCAGGGTATAGTATTGAGCAAGACAGACCAGGTTTTTGCTCTTTTGGAGTCAGGGATGGTGAAAAGGGCATGGAGAGCAGAAAAAAACAAGTATGGCAATAATGAGCCAGCTGATTTTGGACAGCAGTAAACACTCTGAAGCAAACAGGATACACTAGGGAGTGAATGGTGGGATGGGGCTGAAGATGGAAGGATCTGGGGAGAGTAGTCCAAGCAGGGTAAGTGAAGAAGGAGAAAGAAGCCAGTGTGGTCAGGTCAGAGGAGGTAGGGAAGGAAGGGGAGGAGAGGGTGGTTGCAGCTGAGGTTGGAGGGAACGAGAGCGGCACGAGTGTGTGCGCATGAGCGTGCAAGTGCAAGCACAAAGGGTGGGGGTGGGGTGTGCAGGTGGTGCAATGATACAGCTTTCACTCTGAAAAAAGTGGAAGTTGTTGGAGAATTTTGCTCAAAGGAATGATATGGCATGACTTTTTAAAAAAAAATGTGGCAAACCATGTGTAACATAAAATTGACCATTTTAACCATTTCTAAGTGTGCAACCCAGTGGTGTTACATACATTCAAAATGTTGTGCAACCATCACCAATGTCTCCAGAGTTTTTTTTTTTCCTCTATGAATGCCTGTTCTCTTTTTTTTTTCCTTTTTCTTTTTTTATTTCAAAGTATTATGGGGTATTTCCAGAATTTTTACAACTTCCCAAATTGAAACTCTACCCATTAAACAATAACTCCCCACTCCTCCCTCCCTTGGCAACCACCGTTCTACTTTCTGCCTCTATGAATGTGAGTCTTCTAGAGACTTCGTATACGTGGAATCATATAATATGTGTCCCTTCAGGTCTGGCTTATTTCACTTAGCATAATGTGTCCAAGGTGCATCCATGTTGTAGCATAATGACTTACAGTGACTTATGTTTTAAAAGGGTTCCACTGCCTGCGACACTGAGGATGGACCACATGGGAGTAAGGGTGGAGGGAGGCCAGGAGGAGCCATGGCCCTGGTCCAGGTGACAGGAGTGGAATGGGCTGGGACCAGGGAGCCCAGCCTGCTTGTCTGCTGGCACAAAGATGAAGGTGAAAAACCCCCGAAACGCCCTGTGCTCTGAGGCCCTGGCTCTGCCACAGCTCTTCAGAGACAGAGAGCCCCCAGAATTACCTTTATAAAATTCACTTTGCAGTGGCAGGAATCGTCATTCAGGTTCTTGATGACGATCTCTCCGTAGTGCTCAATCCACCTCTGTCCGCTTAGGATGTTATGGATGCAAGAGGTCACTTTGTTCCACTCAAAATGATCTCCAAAACTAAATAAAGAAGGAAAAAGTAAAGGTACCAATTCCCAGAAGAGCCAGCAGCAAATGCAAACACACACTCCTATTTTATAAAGTCAGTCACATAAGGAATCACGCATTCCTTCACTCACGGAACCAACGCTGACTGTCTACACCATGCTGGGTGTGCTACAAACTTCCACTCTCCAAGGCAGTGTGTGTGCCACAGAGGATGACAGCAGTCACACTAGTGCTCTGGAAGCTGCCAGAGGCTTCACGAGGAGCTGGTAGCCTCCTGGAGCAATCTATTCCCTCTTGCAGAGGAGGCAATTCAGAGCCAGAGGCGACTTGTCTAAAGTTGCTGAACTAGGAAAGGTAGGTGGGAATGAGGGAGATGTGGGGGTTTATACAATTTGGTGCACATATTACCTGCATCTTTTATCATGAGAAATTATTCAGATATTACTTATGGAGTTAAATAATACTTATGAAGAAATGGTAATAAGACCAGATATTTGCATTTGCACATGCTATGTGCCAAGTACTGTTTTAAGTGCTTTACATATATTATCTGTTTGATCTTCACAATGGCCCTATGAAGGAGATGGTTTATTATCCCCATTTTGCAGATGAGGGAGCTAGTGATCAAAAAGGTGAAGCAACTCGCCCAGGGCTTCACAATTACCACAGCAAGTGGCAGAGCAAGCACGTGAACCTCTGCAATCTGCTTCCACAGTCCCTGCTCATAACCACTTTGCTGTATAAATAGCACCAATCCTCCCTATAGGATCAAATTCTGAATAGCAAGGCAGGACAACAATGTTAAAGAAAAACTACCATTCTTAGTCTTGTTAGGAAATGGAAATGAGTTTTTTAAAAGCTTCTATTCCGGGAACTTTGATCTCCAGGAGGCATTTCCATTTGAGGGGAAAATATCTGAGATTGCCAAAATGAGGAACATTTAAACCTACTGTCAAAAAGATTTAAAGAAAGAAACATACACCCAGTGCCATGGGAGGATGGTGAGTGTCCTGTCCCAAAGTGAAATCTCGGCCCCAAATTCTATAAAGTTCCTAACTACAGAACTTACGCTGGCAGGGTCACGTGTGTTGTGCCAATTGGAACAATTTCCATGGATTTGCCCCAAAATTTGTTTTTCCATCTCACATCTGAAATGAAATAGCAAATATTACATGTTTAGCAGGAGAGGTAGGTAGATCAAACAAACAGTTCTTAGCCTATATAAATGATGAATCACTACATAGTACAACCGCTTCATAAGCAGATCAATTATTGTATAGGATAACTTTTCATGAAATGTAAGTACCAACTGGGTACCTGGAATAGAATCAGGGAAATTAAAATTATAAGATAAAGTCCCTCCCTCATGTTAACAGCATGAAAGGCAGACAGAAGTGAAAACAAGTAGTAACCACACAGAGAGGTGCCAGCTTTGACTGAGTGGTTTGTAAGGTGAAACAGAACCAGAGAGAAGGAATGAACGTGCTTAGAGAAGGCATCAGAAAAGGCTTGTCAGAAGGGGTCATTTAAACAGGGCTTTGAAGAATGTGTAGGAGTGTACCAGGGAAGAGAAAAAGCAATTTAAGGTAAAAGAAATAGCTTCTATAACGGGACAGAGGTGTAAGAGAACATAGTGTGGCTCTGTGCTGTAGGTCTGAAGTTGTCTAGAGGAAAGAGTAGAAAGTCAGATTGAGAACAAATAACAGTGGACCTTATAAGCCTGGCTAAGCAGTCTGGTTCGTGTGCACTGGGTAAAAAACAAACAGGGAAGTGATGTGATTAGATCTAGGCCTTGCAAAAACAACTGGAAAGAATGAGGAGAATGGAACAGGGGTAGGGGAGATTAGAAGCAAGGTGAACAGTTAAGAGGCTATTGCTGTTGCCTAGGAGATCAACAGGGATGAAGTGAACTAAGACACAGGATGGAGTGGAGGTGAGTGATTCCTAAGATGTTAAAAAAGTAGAAATAGAACCAGATGACAAATTAGACACAGATTGAAAAAAAATGGGAGAATTTATGCATAATGTCAGATTTTTCTAACTTGCACGAATGGTGATACCAACAGAGGAGACAAGGAATAAAAAACAGTAGAGTGGGTTTTGTCTGGCTGCTGCACTGAGGACACACAGACCTGTGGAAGCAGGGAGGCCAGGAGGGGTCATGGCTGTGGTCCAGGTGAGAGAGGTGGGGCTGGGACCAGGGAGCACATAGGGCACATATTGCATGATCCTGTTTATAAGAAATGCCCCAAATAGGCAAATGTATAGAGGCATAAAGTAAATTAGTAATTGCCTAAAACTGAGGGATATTGAGGGAAATGGGGAACTGGGTATTTCCTAAAGTGGTTTCTTTTTGGAGTGATGAAAATATTCTAAAATTAACTGTGCTAATGATCGTATAACTCTGTGAATATAATAAAAAAAACAATGAATTGTATACTTTACATGGATGAATTGTATGGTATATAAATTATATCTCCATAAAAATGTTATCAAAATAAAAAAGATAACTAGCTGTTTAAAGCAAAAATAATAAAAACGTATCACAGGGCTTATAACATACATAAGTAAAATGTATGTCAAAAATAGCACAAAGATTGGGAGAGGGGAAATGGAAGTATACTTTTATAAGTTTCTTAAACTATACATGAAGTAGCATAATACTACTTGATGATAGATTGTAATACATTAAAGATATATAACATAAATTCTAAAGTAACAAGAAACAAAAGAAAGAGGTATAGCTAATAAGCCAACATAGGAGATAAATGGAATTATAAAAAGTACTCAATCCAAAAGAAGGCAGAAAAAGAGGAAAAGGGGAACAAAGAACAGATGTGACAAACAGAAGACAAACAAGAGGGCAGATTTAAACCCAACTACATCAATAGTCACAATAAAGGTAAATGGTTTAAGAACCATAATTAAAAGGCAGAGAAATATCAGCTTGGTTAAAAAGCAAGATTTGCGAGTCATGGGCTTATGGGAATAGGTGGGATTGCCCAGGAAAAGGCTGAAGAGGATGGAGCTAAGAAGAGAACTGTGAAATGTAGGGAACACACAGGAACTATTTTGAGAAGACCTCTGCCATTAAAAATACATAACTTTAAAAAAACAAAAAAGAGGTGCTTATAGTGTCGATGGGATTTAGCAAATAGGAAGTTAGGGACCTTATGAGAATTACTTCCAGAGGGTTTTGGTGAAAGGTAGTGAAGTTTCAAATCAAGCTTCGATTTTAAATGTTAATGGCAAAGATGAAGAAAGAAATCTATGGTACTTGTAACTTTAAACTGGTAACATTGATTGAGAAAGGAACTGAGTGGCTGGGAGGGGGAGGGGGGGAAGGTATTACAGTATACTCTTTTTGTACTTTTAAAATTTTACAAGGGTGTGTGTGTGTGTGTGTGTGTAAAGGCAATGTATGATATCACTGTTGGCAGAGAAAAATGTTTTAAAAATTGATATGAGCTCACTGTTTGAAAACCCAGGACGCTCCTATTTTTTTCTATAGTTCTTCATTGAATAAATAAAGATGTTAACAAAATTAATTAATGCATGTAGGAAATATATGCAGCCTTATTTATTCTTAAGAAAAACTTACCCATCTACCTTCCAATTCAAAATATAAACTGAACAAAACTTTAAGAACCACTTAAAAGTCAACAATGTACAAAATGTAATTTCATAAATAAAATTAAACATTTCAAAAGCAAAAAAACCCCTCTGCTGTCTACACTCTGATAAACAACTATAAATATTTCCTCTCTCTTGAAATAGGGGAGACATTTCAAGTGGTTATTAAATAAGATAAAGTCACCGGAATAAATGGTGGTGGCTCAGATAAAGATTGGGAATTTTTTTTTAAAAGGCAAAAACTAAACAATTTCCTGAATACTTAATATCAATTAATATCCAATTAAAATTAAATACTTGATATCAATTAAAATGTGATAAATACCAATTATTGTCCAGAGACCAGAGGTGAGAGCAAGTGGTGCAGAGCCTTCTCACCAGGCCCAAGTCCAAGGACAACTTTTGATATTAGCAAGCATTTACAGCAATTCTTGGATGAAATAAATCCATCAAACTATACAAAATGATGGAGGTCAAGTATATGAGTACATTACCTTGCCAGAAAACAAAATTTCCAGACTCAGCATGACACGCAGAGATAGGTGGGTGGTGGCTGACCTGATGGAAACAAACGCCAAAAAGATAAAACATGAATGAACGTTTGTGTGTCATGAAATCCATTCGTTCTCTTCTCCCCTGCCCTGAGATGTGACACGATACACTGTGCTCGCTGAAGACAGACTTCTTCAGTTTCCTTCTACAAGTCTGTCCTCAAGAGGGCGCTCCTGATACAGCCAGCTCGGACATGTCACGTTTATCAAGAAGGGTGAGGAAAAAAACCTCCAGGGGCATCCGTGGGACAGCCGCCAGGACAGAGACCCAGTGATGAGGACTGAGACCGAGACCCATTTTGAAGGCCATGAAAATAATAACAAAGACTTTCGAGAACCGCCCATACATAAACCATATGATCCGACCTGCCAATGTCAAACGTCTCTCTTCCTAGCTCTGCAAGTCCCTGCAAATGCTTTCCTAAGATGTCAACTAGCAAGTATTTTAACATGCCACTTCTAAGCAACACAAAAGACTCTTCCTTTGGCTCAGAAGGTTTTAACTCTTGAAAACTCTGCATCACAATGTCCAGCCTCTTTCCGAATCACCTATAAGAAGATTGATGCAAGATAACTTTTCTAACAACCATAATGTTCCTATTTAAAAAAAGAGCTAAACGCACAATTGTTGAGAAGACGTGAGTCAACTGGTAGGGAAAAAATTTTTATTTATTTTTTTGTCAAGATATAAAATATCTTGAGTAAATATGTAAGTACATTCCAGAAAAGAGACTTCTCTGTAACAGAGACTGCCTTTTTGGCAAAGGGTCATTAGTTGTTTTGTTCAGTAATGACGAAGCTAGAGAGAAAACGGCCCCCTCAGGTCTCCTTCCTGATTATCTCAGAAACACTCGTGGAGCAGTGAGAGGCGTATGTGCTGTGATTACAATTCAGCACCAGTGAAGCCACAGTAATGCTGCCAGTGGTGTTTCCAGAAATTTCTCTGATTTAGCTGGTTCTTAGCATAGGTGTCTTCCATTTAGAGTACCCAGCACAAGGCCTTCATATTATATAAACAAGGAGACTGCAACCAGAAAGATGAAGTAACATTTCCCAAACCACACTGATAGAGAAGTAGTGGTAAACTCAACAGGGTGGGCTAACCTCAATGATTTTCAGGAAGAGGGAGAGGGAGAGGGAGAGGAGGAAAAGAAAAGAAAAGTTTTAGGCAGCTGCCCTCTGTTTACAAATACATCTTATCAAGAACTCAGAATGCTGAGCCCGGCTTGCAATGAAAGGTGTGTGAGTGTTAGGGAGGAGGGGAGGGCAGCGGGTGATAGATCCATAGCTACTCGCCTTGTTCCAGCCCCTCAACCAAGCTGAGGAACATGGATTAGAACCACTCCCGTGTGCCACGCCTCTCGAAGGAGACTGCTGGGATGGGATGGTCCAAAGTCATGCATGCCATACCCACATCTAACAGATGAGATTCCAACCATACCAGCCTGGGCCAAAGAAAAGTAGAGACAAAAATTTAACCAGTGTGGGTATCTTCCAGATACCCAGTGGACATGACTGCAAGCTGCAATGTGAAGTAGGAGCTGCAATGTGCTGTGCTTCAGTTTGTCCTAGTGCCCATGTGCCTCCTAGGAATGTGAGCCCCTCACTGTGCCTCTGGGATTTAAGGGCAATTTTCATTTCAAGCACTGACTTAAGAAACCTAACTCCTATAATGTAACTCGCCGCTTTCTTTTTGTCATCATTTTTAATTTAAAAATGTTGCATCTTCCTCCTTCTTTCCCTCGCTAATTGGCTCTCGATGAAAACAATGGAGATAACTTTGAAACCACAGGATCACATAAAACTAAATCAGGGCACGGTGGTGGTGTGTGCCTGTAATCCCAGCTACTTGGGAGGCTGAAGTGGGAGGATTGCTTGAGGCCAGGAGTTTGAGGCCAGCCTGGGCAACATAGCAAGACTCAGTCTCAAAAAAAAAACACAAAAAACCCACAAAAAACTAAATTAAGCAAAACAAGCCCCACACCCCACTGTGGAGTGGGAGAGAAGCTATGGAATGTTCCCCTCCTCTGTAATGCAGACCTATTTTAAAGTGGATTATAATAAAGTAAATTATATTCATCTCACAGAAACAATGTAGTAAAGGGTGAGGAGAGCATTATAGCCTTGACTAAGAATTTGGCATCTTTATAGGTGTCAACATCAAAGCAAAATATAATATATAAAAAAACTATATACTTCTTCTGTAATAATTTTAAATTCCATAAAACAGGTATAAAATATACTGTCCACATGAATTATAAGAGAAGCTGTATTGTATACACACTCCCATAAAAACCCAACTTTGATTTTTTTTTAAAACTATTCTGTTAGATTAATGAATTAATGTTCAGCATAGTACCTCTCGTTGGGTTCAACAGATGTCTTCTGAATGAATAAATCACAACATTCAAACATCCATGATTTTGCTTATGTCTTTATGGTTTACACCAGCCTTTGAGAATGGCGTTGTATTTGGTCCACACTGCCTTAAGAAGTCTACAGAGCTTTCTGGGGAAATTTACATGGATGCCTTATTTTTCTTTATTTCCTCACAACGGGTATTTATGGGTATTTATTCATGAAGCGTTTCTAGAGCATCTGCCACATGCTGCGCTAGTGTCAGGGAAGAGAGAGCTTTTTGTTGTCCTTCAGAGCTGGGTCCTGACTGCAGTGCCACCTGCTGGCTGTGTGACCTTGAGCAAGTTTCTTAACCCTCTCTGTCCCTGTTAACTCATCTGGGAAATAAACCTAATACCACTGACTTGGCCAACTGGAAAAAGATGACATGCAAAGTGTCCAGGGTCATACACTGATGTGGACTAGGTACATTTTAATTTACTACATTTTAATTTTTTTTTATGAGTGCATTTCCATTACATTCTTCTGGTAACCTTGTGTCTTTAATTAGCCTTATTTTATAAATTTGGAAACAGGGGTCCTGTCCAGCAAAGAACTTGCCCAATGCTACACCGTTAACGAGTGACACAGGCAGCTCTACACCCCAAGCTCCTCTGATTCCAGATCCGGTTCTTTTCTGAATGTTTCCTATGCCTGCTCTCAGCTGGGGTCTTGTCCCTCCCCAAAGCACATCATTAAGGTCCCTTTTCATGGATATTTAGAGAAGGAATCTTCTTTTGAATCTGACCTTTCCAACCTGAGTCTCGTTTGTTTCTTTGTAAAATGGAGTCTGAGAATCCCTCTGGGCTTCAACATGTTCTGATTCTAACATCTGCTCTGAGTGTCTTCTTCCAATCTTGGCATCAAAGGTGGCAGAGGATGCCGGCCAATTTGAAAAGATTACACTGAGGCTTTGATTAACTTGAATTCCCACAGAAAGGGCTAATTCATGGTTAACCATTTATCTTTGTGGATGGCAATCTTTCTAAAATCTACTAGAGTGGAGAATAATGAACACAATCTAACCTGTCTTTGTTAGTGTAGGGTTCGGTTGAATCTCTATTCTCCTTACACCTTGGGCAAGAAAGGACAGTGGATGTGCTGTAGTCTGCATGCACCTAGCCTACTAGATAAATCCAGTTTAGACTGGTTTGTTAGTGTCCTTCTCCATCACTTCCTCTCTAGTCAAAGAGGAGCAATTCCTGATGGGTAAGGATGTCCAAGTATTCAAAAAATAAGCCTGTATGATTTTTATTATGCAAATATTTACATGATAAAATATGTATCTTTCTACAAGCCGCAACACAGTTCCCCTGGCATTTAAGAATTCATGTAATTTGGGAGGAGCGGAGGGGCAAAAACCTACTAACAGATACAATCAACACTACTCGGGTGGTGGGCACACTTACAGCCATGACTCAAGCACTACAAAAGCTATCCATGTAACCAAAACAATTTGTACCCCCTTAATACTTTGAAATAAAAAAAAAATTCATGAAATTTATAATTTATTTCTACAGCTGAGGTCTTTCTTTACCCTGATCTGATCATTTTTGGTTTATGCTTTGAACGCACTCTATATAAGAGGTTAAGGGATAAGTGGATGGGGAAAGGATATATTTCAGTATTTGTATATTTTGTAAGCTTTTCCTTTTTAGATTTAGGAAAACATCCCTTATTAAATACACCATTTCTACCCAGCTACTGCCCAGAGACATAACTATCTAGTCCCCTGGTTCCTGACGCCCTAGAGCAGCACAGGGCAGCTTATGGGAGAGAGAGAGCGAGATGCCAGGTGAAAAAGTCAACCAGGGAGGGGACCAAGGGGCCATTCCTCCCAGGTCATTCATCAAGCACTTACTGATCACCTCTGATGTGTCAGGCACTGTCCTAGTTCCTGGAGATACAATGATAAACAAAAGAAACAAAACCCCTTCCCCTGATGGAGTTTATACTTTAGTAAGGAAGTGAGATAGACAACACACAAATAAGCACATAATTTGTCAACAGTATATACGTGTTAAGGAAAATAAAGCAAGGCGTGTGGCTGGGGGTGGGCAGTGTGTAGGACTGCTGTTCAGATGGGGGGGGGACTCTTGAAAAATGGAAACCTCTGCAGCTCAGAGAAATACGGAGTTAACCACACAGCCATCTGGGAGAAGCACATCCCAGGCAGAGGACACAGCAAATGCCAAGGGCTGGAAAATGCTTGATAAGAATAAGGAGAAGCAAGGTGGTCAGTGTGGCTGAGGCTGAAGGAGGAGCGTGGAGGTGGGAGAGGCGTGGTGCGTGGGGGCAGGGTCTTGGAGGGCTTTGTGGGACACGTCCAGGACTTTGGATTGTATTCCGAGTGACTTGGGAAGTTGTTGGAGGGTGTAGAGCAGATGTTGCTTCTGTTTAAAACAATCACTATAGCTGCTGGATGAGGAACTAACTGGCTACGGAAGCAAGAGACCAGTTAATGAGTCCACTGCAATGATGCCAGTCATTGATTGAGGTGGCTTGGGCTAGGTGGCCAGCACTGTCGTGGAAATAGTAAAAATGGCTGGCTTTGGAAGGAAGGTTTCTGGAAGGAGATCCCAGGATTTGCTGATGGACAGGAAGTGGATA